TTTTTAGGTTTATTTATTAGACTACTTGCTTTTTACCCCTAGTTTTAAGTCTATTACTATCGTTACGATCTTTATGCATAACGATTTATATATAATGATTATATGCGTAATGATTGTATGTGTAATGATCATATGCGTAACAATTCTTACTAATACTACGTCATCATGATAATAAAATAAATAGAAAATAAATAAAAGAAGTATTAAATAAAAATAGAATAAATAAAATAAATAGAATAATAAAGTGCAATTAAATATCTGTTTGACGAAAGTGTTTGCCAGGACAATAAGTCATCGTGGGCATGTGATCGCCATAGTATATTAGTGTCACATGATCATCATAGTGCATAACATCATACCTAAGGACAAATAGTTATGTTATACCTCCTCCTCCTTTGAAACACGAGGTCTTCCAAGTGATACAAGTCATCTGTAAAATAATAATTACTAAAAAAATTTTTTTTTTTTTTTTTTTTTATATGTATATAGTTGGTTCCTACGCAGGTTGCTTATAATATCATTTTAATCGATTTGTGTTTACCACGTTCTTAAAGACTTTTCCTTCTTTGATTTATAATTTATATATCACTGGTGCTCCATCGTCATGAATATAATAAGGTCCTTGCCATTTTTCTCTTAATTTATCGCCATAAACCTTCTCTTTAGCAGAATCATATAGCAAAACCTGATCACTGATCTTAAATTCCATAGGTCTTATTTTTGCGTTGTGGTATTCTTTTTGTCGATTTTGGGCTTTTTAATTGTTCTGTTGAGCTTGAAGTCTTCGATCATTTAATTGTTTAGTGATCTTTTCGATGTGTAGCTCTAATAACTTTTCTAATGACATTTTTGGAGTTTTCTCGTTTCCTTTTAACTGTAGGTCTAGTGGTATCATAGCATTTCACCTATACATTAAGTAAAAAGGGTTGTATTTAGTGGTGTGATTCTATAAAGTTCAATAGGCGAATAAAGCGACAGATAGTAATATATCCCAGGTAGTCTTGTAATCATCTACAAGTTTCGCCAAGTAGAACAAAGAGTCTTATTGAATCTTTCGGTTAGCCTATTGGTTTGTGGATGGTAGGTGGCTGCTAAACAGTGATAAGTGGTCATAATTTCACATAGGGCATCAATGATTTCATTGCAAAAGAATCGCCCTTGATCAAAAAGGAGTACTCTTGGACAATCATGATGGCAAATAATGTCTTTATAGATGAATTGAGCTATGGTAAAGGCCATCATGTCGGGAATCGCTCGAGCTTCGAGCCACTTTGTTAGATATTCTGTGGCTACAATGATATAATAGTTTCTACTTTCTGTTATATCCTTGAAGGGCCCTACTATATCAATACCTATTCTGTCAAATAGGGCTCCAACTTCTAGAGGGTGTAATTCTTCATGTGGTTGGGTATTTCCTGTCTTTGACACACGTCACAAATTTGCATATATTCACTAATAATTTTATACATTCATGGCCAGAAATACTTGTTTTTTACCCTATTGTAGATTGATTTTATGCCAAAATATTCAGCCATCATATCAGAATAAATCCCATATAGTATCTCTTCTAATTCATCATCTTGAATTACTCGTAGTGGTGGGCCATCGTTAACTTTATTTTTACGATATAAATGATTCTGATCGAGAAAATAATGGGCGGCTTGTTTTTTTAAGGTTCTTTGTTGCTTTGGGTCTAGGTTTTTCAGAACTTCAGCAGTTTCAAGATAAGTCTTGATTTGATAATATTGTTGTAAATCTAATTTTTTTTTTTTTTTATTTACAATATTTCTTTTTCGTATAAATATAGTCTAGCTATATTGGATTATTTTATTGGCGTGTTGATTTTTTTTTAAATTTGTTTTTCTTTCCTCATAGGGGCTTGTGAGGAATTCTTGATAAGGTATCGACATTGGTATGTATAAGACCTTTTCTATATCTAATTGTACAAGGATATTTAGCAGCTATCATAATCTATTATTCAAGTCTGTCGGTAGGCTGGGGATTGTTTAAGAGCCATTTCAAGGCCTGGTGGTCCATAACTAACTTTAATTCTTTTCTATAGATATAGGAGTGAAAGTATTGCATGGCTCAGATAGTGGCCAAGCATTCAATTTCAGTGGCAGAATAATTTTTCTCGGGATCATTTAGTCCTTTACTCATGTAGGCCACTACATATTCCTTATTATCATCATTTTTTTGGGCTAGAATAGCATCTAAGCCCATGTACAAAGCGTTGGTATATAGAATAAAAGGCCTATCGAAGTTAGGATAGTGTAATATAGGGACCGTAATTAGCCTTTGTTTTAATTTTTCAAAGGCTTCTTGATACTGATCGTCCTATCTGTACGGAATATTCTTCTTCAAGAGCAGGTTGAGTAAGTATACGATCTGAGAAAAATTTTCTACAAACTTCCTATTCCTTAAACCATCTAGCAGGCAAATTTGCTTGCTTATTTTATTTTTCAAAAGTTTTTTTAAGATTTCTTAAAATTTATTTAAGCTTGA